TGTTGACCAATGCTGTTTGTTTTCCCTGCGTTTATCGTAGTCAAAAAAGTGAGTAGCCGAATCACACAGCAAAACTATTATTCTGTTATTATTTCTGTTACATATTACACATTTTGTAAGCATGTAATCCATTTATTGATATTGTACAATTATAAGTTAAAAACTACTACAACGTTATGTTTTTAACTCCATGTTCTGAATCTACATCTGTGCATCCGAAATGAGATAAATATAAACGGGGATAAGCAACAAATTATTAACTGTGATATTTCTAATCTCCACATGATTCTATGGTTCATAAAAACATATTTCTTTGCGTCATGAAACTGTTCATTTTATTCCCCTGTCAATACATAAATGTTTGGTTGTGTTTCCAGAGTAACATATTTTATCTACTGCTGCTTTAAAATACTTTTCATTATCAGATTGGTGACTTTTGTGCACATAGTAACAAGTATCCTTTTTAACTCATTATCAGTGCTTGAGGTATTGTATTTGTTATGGTGATAGTAGCGGATACGTCATAGCGGATATTACTTGCTATAATACCATCACAAATGAAGGGAAGTCGATTGCTCTATTTACCTTCAACAGAGTGAGCCATTATATTAGAAGTATTTTTATTACGTATCAATCTATTCTTACACGACTGATATGGCTTTCGATACAGACGTTAATTCTGTAATACCTAAATTTTCCGTATCGCAATCACAGCTTCGAACTATTGGGTGGAAGTGGCTGCTTTAATCATTAATTATAATAGGGAAGTACCGTTAATTAGTGAGAAACACTTTATTAATATTTTATTTCTTTAACAGGCAAAATATTAGAGCATGGTTGACAATGAGCTTTCATACGAAGCTGTTGTGCAAATCTACACCAAACATGAAAGGAAGGGAGAAACCAAATACGTTGCTCCTGAAAACTTGCAGTGAAAATTTAAAAAAAAAAAAAAAATCCAGAACAGTAAGAAAGACTCAGAGTCATGTCAAGATTCAATGCATGGCTTGGAGAAATCGGAGAACAAACATCTTTGAATCATGTACCCCGTAGATCGCGTTCCAAGTTGCATCACTGATGACACAAAAGATATTCCGAATGTAAATCATCTAAAAGCCTCAATCACACAAAATCATGTCAGCTTCAAAGTTTCAAAATATGGTATGCTCCATTTTCTTTTAAAGACGAAGTTCAAGTGACTTTTAATTTGTCTATTAATATTTCTAAGGAATCACAATCATTTAGTAAATATGAGGATAAAACTGACAGACATTTGTAACATATATGAAGTGGAATTACATACAGAAAAATATGTTTTGGCGATAACGCAAATTTCGAAGAAATACATCTATCTTGTTACAATTTTGATGAGACTTTTTTCATCACAGGGCACAAGCAGGGAATAGTATACTTGTTTATATTTTTCTTGCGACTGTTCGATTAGAAAATAAAGAGAAGAAATCAGAACAATATTGTTAAGAATTTTCTTATAAAAATATTCAAATGATTGTTGAAAATCTAAAAAGATACCAAATTTCCTTTTTTTAAACATATGTCTAACTCATCGCCTTTAAGTTCAATGCATCAATAATTTTATGTAATGACGTCATAAACAGATCTTTTTGAAGGTATAGTAAACTAACGAGCTTTCTGGATCAAATTGAATGTATTTAATTACTATTATTCTATGAAATTTACCCTGAAATTGCTCGGAAGTAGAATGTGTATTTAGTAAGTTGTTTGCATGAAAAAGGTCACTTACTGGTCCACAAATTATGTTCCATTAGAGAAGAAAAGAAAACTTAACTTGCCTGTGATCGATGTTTTTATCAATGCATATGTCCTATCAAAATTTAAAAAGTAAATAACCATGTAAGCAATTATGAAAGACATATAACACAACTGGTCATTACATATCTAAGCCAAGGCTTAGTTACCTACATCATGTGGGTTCTACAATATCCTGATATGATATAATCCAGATTGTCTTTGTATTCACTAAATATTATTTGTCCAAAGCGTCAATTAGCATTTTGTAATCTCAATATTGCAATGAATAACAGTTCTCTCAAATTATACCTAAACAAAAATAACAGTGATTCCGTAAAGAACAATATTACAATGGAAATAAAGAATTTTATACTTGAGACAGAACCTTATCTTAGAAACAAAACACTAAGGCAAATAAGATGATTAGGATGTGGGTCATTTTCATCAAAATTTACAACAAATTCGTAAACAATGTCAGGTCCCAACATTTAAATGTTAGCAAACACCTTGACAAAAATCAAGTCGGCCATAGAATTTCAAGGGAAAATTAATATTCTGAACTCAAATTCAAGTAAACATGTTGTTCATAAGTGAATATTATCTCAAAATATAATATACAAACATGGACAAATGTCAGCTATGTAATATTTTGTTTACAAATGACAACTTAATCTACGACCATGGACAAACGTTTAACACACAAAATAGATATCCAAAACAGTATACATTAAAAAAATTGAAAGAATGAGTTACAAAAACAGAGATATGTAATAAATACAAAACCACATACCAGCTCCGTAATATTTTTTCCCCATTAATAATACTCTATTTTATTATTTTCCTGACACATTTGGATGTAGCCATTAACCTATAACCAAAAATAATTATAATCACTGAAGTCACAGATATCATTAATAACGTACGATAACGCTGTATCTCTAATAAGCATTAATTTTAAGTGCTTAGAATCGAATCATTAGCATCTTGTCTGACCTTCCTACCGATAAAAAAAAAATAAAAATACTAGGTATAGTCAATATATTAGGTTCAAATCTACATGGTACCAAGCTCATTTGGATTAAGATGTTTCACCTTGTGGTGAGGTGTTTTCTTGCTTTTGAGGAGTTTTCTAGTATATGTATGATGCTATTAAACAATACAGTATTACGACGCTACGGCCATAAAATAAGTAACAAATCAAAACCAACAATGTATGTAAACCTTAACAGACATTGTAAATATCAATGTTACAAAATTAAAATTCAAGATGAACTTATAGTATTATGAATTGAATCCAAAATAATCCTGAAAAACTCCATCAAAGTAAACAAAAATGAAATGTTCCGTATAAATTTCATGTCCATGAATATAATGGTACGCCAAAAGCCCTGGCGTATTAAAAAGGTGTTGTTCATAACTACTTTGAATAATTCAAAGTAGTTCCAGAAACATTATGGCCAAATGAGCACTTTTCATTTCCACTGAATAATGTAAATAATTATTTTTCCTCTCAGGTAATATTTAAATCCAACATAAAATAGTGTACAGATTTGATTTTTCACCATAAACAAAAGAAATAAGAAAACTTGGCTAACCTGAGTTACTTTTATACAGGCGAAAAGCTAAAACACTCATATTGACACTACTGCCACGTGACTAATCGCAAATTTCCAACATCGTAAAAAAAAAATTCGCATGATTTCACTAATCCGATGGGAACTAATATAATTCTTCTAAGATACCACGTGATAGACATGTCCAATGAGAGAAAAGCCCGAAACTTGTAAATATATGTGCTAAAAATATTCTGATTAGTTTTATCCACTTTCGTTCTTTAACATATTAATCATAGACTATGTGCAGGTACACCCACAGATAATAACTACAGACATGAATAAAGATTACAAAAATTATAGATACATAAAAGTTATTCATCTTCGAATGCCTACACCCAGTATGAATATTAGCTCCCATTGCAATGTCTGCATTTAAAAGTCATGTGTTTTGAGAAGGCTGATGAAAATATTAAATTTAGCATCTATGAATATCTAAACTAATTTGCATGTTTCCTCTTCAGCACGAGCAGAGGGTTAATGCGAAAAAGTATCATCCAAATTATTGAAGATTTTAGTAACCTAATATTGATATATAATTATGGATAATTCACAATAGTTCCAAAATTATAGTATAGTCCAATGATCACTTTATATTGCAACTGAACAGTCCAAACAATGGTTTTTCTTTCAACTAATATCTAAATACAACATAAAACACGTCTGCAGACCCGATGTTACTCTCAACTAATACATAAATACAACATAAAATACGTCTGCAGACCCGATGTTACTCTCAACTAATACCTAAATACAACATAAAACACGTCTGCAGACTCGATGTTACTCTCAACTAATCCCTATATACAACATAAAACACGTCTGCAGACCCGATGTTACTCTCAACTAATACATAAATACAACGTAAAACACGTCTGCAGACTCGATGTTACTAGTGGAACACAAGAAATAAGAATAAGAAAACTACCCAGGCGAGAAGCAAAAAAAAAAACAAAAAAAAAAAACGCGTATTATCTCTACAACCTAGATGACAAATAGCAAATATCCAACATACGGAAAACCTCCCTGGATTCATACTAACCAATGGGAATTAACTTAATTTTATTATTAGTAACTGTCAACACATTTGTAAGTACATATTTATAGATCCTACCTCCTTTAAGATCATAAGATGGACCTAAGTAAGCATGAAATCCAGCTAAAGATAACCATTACAAATGACTAATAAAAAAAATTTGATTTTTCTTAGATAAAATTATACCAGGTATTAAAAAGAATATATATACCTAACAGTGGGTATTGGAAAATCATGTACAAGGAGTTACCAAACAAATATACGTAACAGTGGTTAATGGTCCAGTCATCCGACAGTTTATATCCAAGAAAATGTTGTATGAAATATATTTACCATGATAATTTCAAGTCTTTGGTACACAAAATGATTTGAAAAGATAGGATTCATGTTTTGCTTTACCACTGTACAAATTTGCACGCAACCTCAAAGATCAATCCCTTATTGGAAGGGACCTTGAAGATCAACCAAATAATTGGAAACGAAACTCATTTCATACAATATATATATATATATATATATATATATATATATATATATATATATATATATATATATATATTCTATTTCTTTGCTGCAGTAAA